CAGCTCTAACCATGCAGGCAAGGAAGACCTGCTGAAGGCAATGTCATCTTCTGCTGTTAGATATTTACCGTTTCCTTGATGGACAGTTTGTTATCGCCACAGTATTTTTTTGTAGCTTTATTTCTGAGCTAGACAGAGATGATACGAACTTTTCCTCCCCTATGCCAGTTTAGATCGATTCACAAGTTTAAGAGATAAACAAGCCTCATTAAAATAGGAGTGCCTTTCAGGTCTAGCTCAGCACAACAAATGCCCTAGCATTAAAACCTTTGCCAATCAATGAAAGGAAACTGGAAGAAACAGCACCTTCCTCCTCAAATCCCACATTTCAAAAGAGAAAAGACAATCAATACAGGTCCAGCAGTCAGCCGGCCATGATGTTTCTCACATCAGCCGGCCATGATGTTTCGTACCAGACGGCCATGATGTTTCTCACATCAACTTTCCTGCTTAGCTGAGCAGAGAGCAGCAGCATTAATATAGTCAAGGCAGGTACTGCAGCTTCTTTGAGGTCAGTCTTGAAAAAAAAAAAAAGAACAACTACAGGTAGTCCTTGGCTTATGATCACAATTGAGCCCCAAACATCTGTTGCTAAGTGGAACATTTGTTAAGTGAATTTTCCCCTCATTTTACGACCTTTCTTGCCACAGTTGTTAAGTGAATCACTGCAGTTGTTAAATTAGTAACACAGTTGTTAAGTGAATCTGGCTTCCCCATTGACTTTGCTTGTAAGAAGGTTGCAAAATGTGATCACATGACTTTGGGACTCATCAACTGTCATAAATACTATGACTCAGTTGCCAAGTGTCAGAATTTTGATTACATGATCATGGGGATGCTGCAACGGCCATAAGTGTGAAAGTGGGTGTGTTACTTTTTTCAGTGCCCTTGTAACTGTGAGTGGTCAGTAAATGAACTGTTGTAAGTTGAGGACTACTTCTGTGGTCATCATCTGCTGCAGGATCAGTGTGACCCATACAGGAATGAAGGACAACATGATGGGGGAGGGGGGGAGCTGGCAAGTGGAAGAGGCCTGCAGGCAAGTGTGGCAGCCTCAACATATATTGTGAAAAGTAACCACTAGAATAGCAAATATCTGTAGTAAACTCTTCGTTGCTGTCTGGTGGCCATCTAGATTTTTGGAGTCTCAAACCGAAGTGATATTTCTGCCAGCACCTCTTTCCCCCCCCCCCCCAGAGACAGTCCTTGAAACCGACTTTTCTCTCCAAGCTCCAGGTACAAAAGGAGGTCCGCTCTCCTAGCTTTTGAAAGGAGGTCTAAGATTTCCCATCTGAGAAATTTGCCATGCAACCTAGAGAGCTTTATTGTCCCCACCCCTCCAGAAGAGAGAGATTTCCTCTTTCAATATGTGCACAGATGCATCACATATATGTGGACATGCAGGAAAAATATATTTAAATATATAAATAAGAAGACTAGAGGCAACATGTTTGTGTGCACACCCAAAAAAGAAAACCTCTCCCTGACTATCAAGAAAATATACTGAACAGGAATGCTGATATGGAAACAATTTTCCCTGAAACGGGAGGGTTACACACTCTGAGGGATTAATTGAGTGATTCCTTGGTTTCCCTTAGCTATTTTGCTTTGGTCGCTTCTTTTGTCTGCATCGAGGAGGTTTACTGATTTACATAGTTTGTAACAATGTTTTTGCTATTGGTCCTTTTTTTATTCATGTACTGTCTGTTTTCACAGGCTTATTAGACAACCCTAGGATGCCAACACCAATGCCATCATCATTGGCATGGATGATGTTGCCTACTTTGGGTAATGAAATGTCTGTAAGAAAACAACCCAGTTCAGAGAGTACCAAGGACCCCTCATTTAAACTCTTACAAATATTCTTTTTTATTAGTTTCTGGTTTGAAGGATTGTTCATGATAGTTTGGCCCTCTCCAGTGGGTCATGTTTGGGGAACTCGTAAATAAGTTATTTAATCAGTATACCGCCTCTCATTATAGTCAGCTCTACAGTAAGACAAACATCTACATGTATGCAATTGCTTATGATTCCTAAGCAAGTCTGTAAATCTAATACCCACTTGTATGTCTGTGCCACCTTTTTATGAATTCTTTGATTTACCTTTGTATGATGACTTCAGCTATTTCTTAGAAAAAAATAATACTGTACAGACTTCTAAAAAACAAATCTGGTGCTAGGGGAGACACAGTGTACTTCATAACACACTCCTGCAATAAATAAGAGAGAGCTATTTTCAATTCAGTAGACATGTACTCTGAGATCTGCTGCTGGGAAAAAAAATTGGGTATTTAGTGCAGAGAATTCACAGGTATGAATTTGAGACTGAGGAAGAGGTGCTAGTTGCATCGGTCTCCTTTACCTGCATGAAAACAATCCATTTGCATTAGCAAATGTGGTATGGATATATTAGTTTTGTCTCATAAAGTCTGTTTGTGCACCTGTTTGAACTAGGATAGTTAAATGCATAGTTTACACAATGGGTAAAGTTGGTTAGTTTTAACCTTAAGGGATTGGTTGGGTTATATGGCTTAGCATGTCATGTGTACCCAGGCCATTTACTTTGTTCATAGTTCAGTACTCTATGAAAGCAGAAAATGGGTTAATTCAAAGGTCAGATTAAGTGTGTTAGCCAAATGCAATCAATTCTTGGCTGGCATGTGGTTAGTGACAAGCTAAGCTTAGCAAGAAGCCAAAAGTACAGATGGGTTTGAGAAGATAAGAAGGAGTCTCATAAGATATTTCTGCAGAGGCTGGGTGGTCACCCATTGGGGGATGCTGCAGTTGCAAAGCCTCTATCTTGAACCAAAAATGGAGAAGATGCTCTCTATCGTCCCTAAGATTTTACCTTGGGACTTTTGGGGAAATTTTAGGAATTTTGAAATGTTGCCAGGATACAAACAGTCAGACTTTCCCCCACTGTGAAACAAACAATTCTAATTTATCACAGGAATAAAGGTCTTTGCCAGTTGAAAGCATGAATATGAGTCACAGGCTGATTCAATATAATATTGTTTATTACATTTATGCCATTTGCTTGGTTGTTCCTGGGATGTATAGACTCTCATGTTTGCTCCCAACAATGTTATGAGGAAAGAGGGAGGAGGTCAAGGTTAGTAACTTCATGGCAAGAGAGAGGTTTGAACTTTTGTCCTTCCAATTGTAGCCTAACAGTCTATCCACACTAATTAAAACTACAGTAGGTAAATAATCTCTCAAGTCGAGTTCAACTCCCAGTAAATACAAATTAGAACCTACTAAAAACATAAACTCATAGAAGGGAACAAAAACTGAGAATCCAGGACAGATCCTTTTAATACAATTTGGTATCTTTCAAATATAGAATTTTCTCCTATATGTATTCCATAGTTTATCTTATTCCTCTTTCAAACCATTTCTTGCAAATTGTCATCATTTTCTTGTGAGGTTGTTTTGCAGCTCATTCCCTAAGTGCTCCTGAAAATTATGTAGCTAGACTACATCTGACAAAAGAATAAAGTATATCATTGTAACCAGTGCTTTTTTTCTAAAAAAAAAAAAAAAAAAAAAAGGTGCCGGAACTCACACACGTCATACAACCCGCCTTGCCTACCCTACAAGGTTCCATCCAAAAAAGGTGCCGGAACTCCATTCTGGACGTTCTATGAGAAAAAAAAGCCCTGATTGTAACATGGTTGGTTTAAATTGAGTTAACCCAGTGTTCGAACCAGCCATCGTTTGTAAAGCAAGTTTTATAGCTCAGTATATTGTATGAACCTAGTCAACTGTGGTTACTGTTAAACCTTAGTTCATAGTTGTGTGAATCTAGCCATGGAGTAGAATGTAGACTAAATTGTGTAATATAGTATTGGGTTATGACTGGAAAGATCTAGATCTAGAACTATCATACTATCACACAATTCATTATGGTGAAGCATATATTCTGGTTCATATCTTCCAATCCCTTCTCTGAAACAGCCAATCCCTTTTTCCAGCCAGTTATCAGTAAGGTGTTCCCAGAGATGCTTCTTGGTTCCAAGGTTAATTCTTTATAAGTAGGTAACTCTTATCTTTTAAAGTGGGAAATGGATCCCTCCTCTCCAAAGGGAAATTATGCACATCATATATAGGTTTCAAAAGCCACATAACTATCAGGAAGCCAAGTAGCATTTTCTATTTCTCTTTACAGTCACCTAGTGGTTAACTGGATTTTTGCAGGACACATACAATTTTTTTTTCATGTTCTCACAAAGGAAAATCTTGGAAATGGAAAATCTTATGGCTGGGCCTTGGCAGTGAAATGGCCCTCAATGCATTAGTTTTTAATAAACAATTCAAACAAGTTCGTGCATGTTGTTTGTATTGATTTTCATTCATTCAAGAACAATATTTGGGGGAAAAATATAGTATAAATGTGCAGCTATAGTGGAAACCTAACATTTGAATAAAAAAAGATAATCTGGCATATCCCTTTTTATAATTCTTTTAATAAGACAGAATTGAATTTGTTCTATTTATACATTCTATCTACTGTTAACCATTTTCAACAGCCAAACATCCTAAAAGTATGTTGCTTTTCCTTGGAGCCTTTCTCCTCCCATTCTTTCTGATAAAGATGAAGAAGGTAATCCTTCTACAGCACTCAGCAATTATCATCCCAAGCTATTTCACAATATCATTATTGTCAAAATAAAAATGATGGGAGAAACTGTGTTTTTTCTTTTGAGCTCCCTAAAAAAACCCAATGCCTAAAACAATGTAATGTAGGGAATCTGCTTTGCAACAGCCTGATAGGTAGTTGTCCATGTTTTGCTTAGAAGCCTCCTAGAATATTTTCAATGTTTCAAGTTCTAAGGAAATATATCATCCATACCAAGTATTTCCTGGTTGCCCAAGTAAACAAATGAGCAGCAAGTGCAGCTAGCCATACTATTAAACAATGGTACACAAAGTGGATACCAATAAGTGAGAATCTTTTCATGAGACAGTTGGCAAGTAACTTCTTCATGCATCTTTTCTAGAACACTCACAGATCTTCTAAAGCAGCCTGGTCACAACTCATCTGATCACTTGCCTGATGGCCATATCAGCAGTGTGCAGGTCCAGATTGGTGATAGCCTTTCTCGGGGATCTCCCACAAGTAACAAAGGTAAGATAATCTGCCTGCTCACCTCCATGCATTCACATATGCACACACCTACAGTATATCTAAGCTAAAGACAAAAAAGAGAATCTGAGGGATTATTCCTCTGCCATAAGAGTTAGAAGGGATGCCATTTTATAACTGGGATAGAGGAAAGAGTGTAGGTAATCTCCGAGTTACGAGCATTCACTTAACACTCTTTCAAAGTTACATGATGAGTGCCCCCTAGTGCTTACAAGCAAGTCCCGAAGTTATGAGTATTGCAGTACCACAGCAGTTGTTCGCCCTTACGAGTGACCGCAGTGGCTCTGAAACATTCACCCTGGTTATTCCCTCCCTCCCTCCCCACCCCCACCCCCGGTCTCCCTAGGCACCAGGCCTTCAATACTCACCCTGCGAAGATCAAGATCCTTCGCTTTCTTGGTTGCTCCAGGCCTTCGGTGCGTTCGCAGAGAATGGAAGCCTAAAATAATGCAAGATCACGCAAGATCAGTGGGGCGAGATCTCACGCCACTGATCTCACGTGATTTCATGGTACTTTAGGCCTCTGTTCTCTGCAACAGAGAAGGGAATCGAAGCTGGGGGACGCTTCCACGTGACCTCCTGATGCTAGATCGGGGCTATGGAGGCCTTTTTCAGGCTGCTACAGCCTGGATCTGAGGCCGGGAAATGCTTCCACACACCCCTGTGGCCCAATCCGGGGTCTGGAAGCATTTTCCAGGCCACTGCCGCCTGGATCTAAGGCTGGGGGATGCTTCCGCGCCCTGCCCCGGCCCGATTCAGGCTCCAGAGGCCTTTTCTAGGCTGCTGCTGCCCAGATTTGAAGCCTGCGGTTCGGGCCACGGGGGTGCAGAAGCATTCTCCAACCTGAAATCTGTGTGACAGCGGCCTGGAAAAGGCCTCCGGAGCCCGGATTGGGCCACGGGGGGACCCAGAAGTGTTCCCTGGCCTTAGATCTGGAAGGCAGCAGCCTGGAAAACACCTCCAGACCCTGGATCGGGCCACAGGGGGACATGGAAGCATCCACTGGCCTTAGATATGGACAGCAGCAGCCTGGAAAAGGCCTCTGGAGCCCGGATTGGGCCGCAGGGGAGCTGCAGAAGCGTCCCCCAGGCTCAAATCCGGGTGGCAGCAGGAACCGTGGCAGAGAGGAGACAGATTTTTTTCCAGGTGAATCCGGTGCAGCAGGAAGGGAGGGGAAAGCATGCAGTATCTTAGTGGGTCGGGGAGGCCTTGGGGGCCTGTTCCATTACTAGGCCCTCCATGGCCTTCCCCATCCTGAGATATCTCATGTTCGCTTAACGAGCTGCATGTGTTTTAACGAGCAAGGGAGTAATCTCGTTCGAGGTACGAGATTCACTCTATGAGTTTTCGAGTTACATGTGGAATGGGCAGGGTCCATTACACTCATAACTTGAGGACTACCTGTACTCAGATTAACATGCAACATCTCTTCTAGACAATAGGTAGTCTGAAAAGGGAATGCCATCCCTATGCTTATACCATGCTCTCCCTTCCTTCCACCTCAATATACCAAGTTGGTAAATGGAACTTTGTGGAACTTTAACTGTTTTTTTTAACTGATATATGTTTACATTGTAACATCCAGACAACAAAGCCTTTGAATTCTGGATATAACCATTTCAACATATCAAAGCAAGTGGCTTAAGCTTTTATAGTTCATCCACAATACATTAGTTGTACTACATCTGTTTGCCTTCTTGCTGTGAATGACATATCCACAAGTAAATAAGTACATTTTAGAAATACTTATCAAAGGTTGGTGATAGTTGTGTCCCTTAAATCATTCCATTCTGATGTTCTAGAGTAGCAGAATATGGATCTTTCTTGCAGAGACATGCAGCCTATTATCATGAGAGTGGGTAGCCAAGTCAACCTCCATGCATCCATACATGACTATATCTGCCAGTATGAAACAGATTCTAATCTAAAGATCCAATTTGTCCAACTAATACACGCCTAAAATTTCTATCTTGCCAATAAGTTTAGACTATACAAAAAGGGGTGGTATGCTACTATTTCTTTGGCATTCTTCAGTTCTCTGTTGGGCAGAGCTGTCTCTTCTTATTTGCCCATGTATTTAAATGCCAATTTCTGATTTCCTTCCATTGCACCCGCCCATCACCTCTGACTATGGTAAAACTTAAGAAGTACCAATGCAGGTAACTTGCCTGAGGGGCTGGCAAATGTAATGTAAACTACTTAAGGTGGGCTGTTTAAATTTACACTTGCCATCCTTTTTCCCTTCAGATCAGAAACACCTGAACAATGCTGTAATCAACTCCTCCACAATCTCACAGATTGGGCTATCACACTCGCATAACAATCAGCTGCAAATGACAAGTGTTTTACCTAACCAGGCTTCAGACTATGCCAAATATGCAACTCTCAAGGCTGTAGGTAGGTGCCATTGTGTTTGCATGCTCATTGACATAGCATTGGAATATCTGGACCAAATGCAGTGAGAACTGGAACACGGCCTTAGTGTTTGGGGCTGAAGCTCACTGTCTTCATGCCCGCTCACCCCCATTGCTGTACACCAGATGACATCACCTCATTGTTGTTGACATTCCACTCTGCTGGGTTGTAGCTTCTGAATTTCACTAATGTCAGAGAGGATTAGATGAGGTGGGAAGGAATAGACAACCCTGATTACAGGGGAAGAAAAAAAACAACAGCTAGAACTAAAAATGTAACAAATTTAGAGACATAAAAAAGGCTTGAACAGGGCAAAGAATGTATGCCTCTTAGCCTTACTGCAGAGGAGGTGTTTTGAATACCCAGGAAATGACTAAGAGGTGTTCCCAATTATACTTTAATGTTTATTAGCTGCTCTTTAACACATATTAATCACTACATTATGCACCTGTACATGTGGGTTTTCCCCTCCTTCTTTGAGTAAGTTTTACACATATTAAGCAATGAGTAGCTAAGCTGTGGCATGCCTGCCATGAATAGCTCAGGCTGTAGCTGTTGTCATATTTCTGGAAATAAGTTGAAAGATTTAATTATTGGTTAAATTAATTATAACAGTCTTAACCTTCTTGTGACACTAACAAGAGAGACAAACAAAAAAAAAGAGTTAGAGATGCTAGGGAGGGTAGCCATCAGGAAAGCTACTAGAATTTCTATCAACTTAATAATTGTTTTTCATTCCCTCCTCTCCCCACACCCATATATTCCCCTGTAGAAAGTGCCCCCGAAGAATTCTACAAGAGGTTTCCCATGGTGGAGATGCCATCGTCAGGCACCTTGTCATTTTCTCCCCTGACACTTCATCAAAATGACCTCCCACCTTTTCCAGAAAGCACTGCTCTCATTGGCTTGGGGACACCAGGACAGAAAACTAAAGTGATGAAAACCAATGCAGGCAGTCCTGTCTTCAAAGGGGGCTGGGATCACAGCCATCCTGAATTTCGACGACAAGCTTATGCCACCAGGCGTCAGTTCAGTATTGAGAAGCTGCCTGAGGTCTTCAGCCAAACCCCCACTCATTATGCCCAGCAACAACGGCTTTTTTCCACTAATAGCAAGACTGAGGTCACTGTCTAGGATGGATCTATGATTCATTCCTATATTCTTCCCTTTGAAGCAGTTGGTGAAGTAGGGCCTGACAGTTTAGAATGAAGTTGCTTCCCTCAATGTGCCACTCCTAGATTCTGGAAGGAGACATAGAAGATATAAAGAAAAGTAGAATGCTTGCCAGAGCTGATGATCGTCTACAATTGTAACAGAACTCATCTGTTCAATTAGGCCAATTTGATAAAACCTGGTCAGCGTGCTTGGTGAAACCAGCATGCCTGTACTACCCTATTGCTTGATGCACTGCTATTGTTTCTTAATTGACTTTTTCATCATATCATACCAGAATCATCAATACAAAGAGAAAGCCTTCAGGACTCTATTACTGCATGGAACTGCGTCAAAAGAGGGAATATATTTCTGCCCTTTCCATTCCCACAGTGCTCTAACAAAAGACAAAACTAATTCATGCAATAGTTAATTGGTACCTTGTGTTTGGACATTTATCCTATACTATATTTCTTTTCAAATTTATATGTGGTTAAATTTCTGAAGGAAAAAAGACAGGATATAAATCTAGTAATAAATGAATAAAAATAAACAGTCTGAAATGGAAGCACTAAGGAATGTCAGAAAATATATGTCATTTCCTTCATTTTAGCTTCACTTTTTCTCTCTATAGCATTTGCTTTAATGGTATTTTAATAAGTCATTTTGGGGCTTTGTATATAAATATTCTATACAATGAACATGATTTGCATTCTCTTATTATAGGTCTCATATTTAAGTGGATGACTTTAGAGAGTTGAAAAAATCTGGTAGACCATAAGGTATAATTCCCACCAAATTATGAGATTTATGTAAAGTATTTTAACAACATCATAATGGTATCTTGTTAAATCACAAAAGGCATGTGTGTGATCTTGTAAACAAACATATCTGTGAACATATATTTGTAACACCATGGCATTCCCCATTGCCCATATGTAAACATTTTATTAGTTGTATAGTAACAAATTCAAAATGAGGAAGTTGATACTTCATACTTCACTTTATGTCACATTTCACTCTGGCTCTTTTCACTGAGTCTTTTTTCATGATCTCTTGACCACCAGATCAGATACAACATGCTCCACTAGTTGATGTGTAATTGGAATTGTAGTCATGTTTTGATGCGTCTTCTAACATGGAAGAAAATCTTTTTAAACTGAGTTCTTGCTATTAAAATATACAAATGCTGATTTTCCCTGAGATGCAACAGAAGAGTACTTGTGATAGATACCAACTAAGTGCAGCAGTAGCATGCTGATTTAAATTCAGCCACTGCTCATTTACTTCAACTTCTGAATATTGTTCCAAACTCTGACTGCAAACAGGCACATCACTAGGAATTTTACCTTCATTATAGTTTTCCATGAAATTTCTTAATTACTCTAAAAGACTGCAATTGTTTTATATTCCATTTTTAAAACTTTAAGGCACATTTTAGATACAGTATATAGGGCATGTAATATATATAACAATCCCTACTAATAGAAATATTCATTCTTTCAAAGGGGACTTTTAGCTCCTTTGTCAGCCTCTATCCTTTTCCCACATCCCCATTTCTCCCAATCAAATCGACATATTCTGGGTATTATTTTTGTGTTTTATTTATCCTCGTAAAAAAACATAAGCCCAGCAACAAAGTGGGAAATATATGATTAAATATGGAAGGCCACTAATAGGCTAAATGGGCAAGAATTATAGCAAGGAACATTCATACAGAGGAACTTTCGATATGCCATATGCCCATCATGTTAGCAAATGTTCTCAGAGTCAACATATGTTCCTAGCACTATGTTGAGAATGTCAAATGGTGGTTCTATTGAATATATTTTGCTATGGCATTTCTGCCCTCTGCTGGTCAATAGAGAAATAAAATACATTAAAAAAATTGTCCCTTCTATGCATCATACGTCAGCTGTAAATACTGAGAACTAGGAGGTCAGTATTGCCTTTGAATTCCCACATTCACTGAAGCTCATCTTTATAATTTCCTCTTGATCATGTTTCTGAATAGCACCAAGGGAAAACAAGTAACTTACTCCATTTCCAAACTATAACTAAAACACAGGCAAGGTCCTCAGTTTCCCTATCCTTGCCTAAATATGCTGAAAATTAGTCTTGACATAAAATTCCAATAACCAAGATGAAGCAGTAAAAATAAAATGGAACTTTAATAGGCAAAAAAGTTGTCTTGCATATTTAAAATTATTTCTTTTCAAATCAACAGACTTTATAGTATGCTGTTTTATTTATAGGCAGCAAGCAGTGTGGGGTGGGCAGATGTTGGGAGTTTTTCTAGCACAGAATCCTTAAGAATTGTCATATATAAAGTCAAGTCTTTCTTATTCCAGCAAGTTGTCTATAGTAAAGGACCATTTTATATATTATCCTGACACATAAAGGAAATACAAATATACTAAACCTGTGTTCCTCAACTTCAGCAAGTTTAGTATTTTGGACTTCAACTCCCAAAATTTTCCAGCCAGCACACTGAATTGAAGTCAACAAACCTTACAAGTTGCTGAGTTTGAGAAACATTGCATCAAACAGTATTTCTAAGCAGTGATACACTATAGGAGAGGAAGAGAGTAACACTTGCATTATATAAGTATTCTCAAACAAATATCACATTTATCAAAAAAATAACCCTGATTTTTAAGATAGACCCTCAACACAGACCAAAAAAGATAGAAGTGGCAGGAAAAAAAACTAGGCTAAAATCCTGCACAGTATACTTACCATACGTGTCAAGTTACCACTGCCAACACTAGTTGAAGTGACTTCTAAAAATTCTCTCCCTGCCCAATAAATGCTTCCATGCGCCACACATTTATAAGTGTGTACCTTTATGTGTATGTTGTTTGTGTATATATCTATTTCTCACTCTACTAAAACCATACCTCCAAAAACAGGGCAGGACCAGGAAAAAGTATACATTAATGTGAGGTTTGTTTTCCAAGGACTGCACTAGAAGATAATTGGACACAATGCTTTACTTTACTATACCTTCCATAATAGGCTAGTGCCCTAGGCTAATTCCATCTTCCTTCGCTTTGAAATGAGGTGGCAGCAAATAAATTTAATCAACCAAATAAGTCGATGTAGCCATGTAATTAAGTCTTTGGTGCTCTATCCTCAACTGGTAAAACTCTTAAGTGGCAAGCAGCATACAATCTTTCCCTCCCTCCAAAGGTTCTTGCATTTTTGCAACTAGGTCCTGCCTCACCATTGTTGCTACTGAGCACTGCAGCCGAGGTCCCAAGCCAAGCTCCAGACAGAATCACACTACAATGTGTTGTTTACCATAGATGCTGATCCTGGAAGTTGACTGACATCACTTTTGCTTACCTGTAATGGTTGTAAAAGTCTGGATCTGGCTTCCCTCTTCATTTGCTTGCTGTCTTCGCCTTATCTCATTTTCTCCTACACACCCACATTTTGTAGGTTAAGAGCCTGGATTAAGTCAGGCTGCCCATGGATGTTAGCATGTTCCTAAAAATGCCAGGCTGGGGCTCAATTAGCCAGCCAGCTGGAACCCCAACATGGATGCTTGTGAGTGAATTGTTTTCCATAGCAAACTAAACATTTGTATGAGAGAGCAATGAGCCCAGCTGCTTTTCCCAAGTGTAGTTTAAGTTTTTAAGTTTTATTGCATTTATATCCCGCCCTTCTCCTGGTGGACTCAGGGCGGCTTACAGCCAATTAAAACAGAACAATTGATACAATATACAAAATTAAAACAGATTAAAAAATATATTTAAATAGGCCTTTCCTTATTTTTAAAAGTTGATTAAAAATCCAATAGTAAAAATATCCTTAGGCCAGTCCTGCCTGCTGAAACAGCCATGTCTTGAGGGCGCGGCGGAAGGAGGGGAGATCCGGAATCACCCGGATCTCTGGGGGCAGCTCGTTCCAGAGGGTGGGGGCTCCAACAGAGAAGGCTCTCCCCCTGGGGGTCGCCAACCGGCACTGTCTGGCTGACGGCACCCTGAGGAGACCCTCTCTGTGGGAGCGTA